TATATATATATATATATATATACATACATATATTTCTCATCTTTAGTCGCCTTCTTGGAGGTAAATAACAAAAAATATATTCATCTACACACACACACACACACACACACACACACACACACACACACACACACACACACAGACAGACAGACACACACACACACACACATATATATATAATTTAATAGAAAATCACTTATCAATTTTTTTTATTTTACATATTGTTTCATCTATAAAGACTTATCAGAAATAATTTTTGTATATATATATATATATATATATATATATATATATATATATATATATATATATATATATATATATATATATATATATATGTGAGTTTGTTTTTTTTTAATTTTTTTTTCTTGATTTTAAAGTATCAAGGATTATTCGAGTTATTGGTCAACCTCGTGGAAATATGCTTCTTATTGGTGTAGGTGGCAGTGGAAGACAAAGCTTGACAAAATTAGCTACTTATATTCTAGGCTATAATATTTTTACAATTGAAGTTTCAAAACATTATGGAAGTAATGAGTTTCATGAAGGTAAGAAAAAGAAGTATCTGTAATGTTTTTTTTAATTTATCAAGTATCTGGTTGTAATCTCTGTTTTAGAAATAAGATAATTATCCTATGACTGGTTCACTGTGGTAGAGGTTTATCAGACTCATTAATTATTAAATTTTATTTTATTTTTATTATATATATGAATATTGATGTCTAAAATTATTTTTATTGTTAGACAAATCTTTTTTCTGGTCACATTTTTATTGTTCTTTTATGAGTCTGTGACTGGAATGTTGTCCACAATTTGTAGAAGAGTTAAAGTGAAAAATAACCTTAGTTACCAAAGCAGGAGTGATTAGGATGTCGAACAGTGGATTAAACTGTTCTTTGGGATGATGATGAATTAGGGAAATTGTTTTTTGAAAATAGTTCTGTCTTATCCTTGGAAGAGGTAATAAGAACAGACCTTTGTATGAAAGATTGGGTGTTACACTTGGTTTTGTTAATGACATTATTAAAGACCTTTAAAAGTCTTTAATAATGTCAAGGAAATAAATATGATTAGAAATGTACAAGAAGGAGAGAATAAAGGGATAGATTGAGGGTTGACTTGATTTGATAAGAAGGAATAAAAGGTTCAATGAATCTAGAAGATTACATAGAAGAGGAAAATTCTATATTGTTTAGTGTTTCTCTTATTGGTTTTTGATTAAAAAAATTCTAAATGACAAGATTCTAAATGACTGAGTTATGTATCTTATTAAAAATTAAACTTTTTTTAATAGCTTATGCAAGGTTTAAAAATATTATTATGTTTGTTTTTTATAGATTTAAGAAAGTTGTATTATCAGGCTGGTGTTGAAGAAAAACCAACAGTTTTTTTATTTACTGATACTCAAGTTGCTCACGAATCATTCTTAGAAGATCTTAGTAACGCTCTGAGCAGTGGTGATGTACCCAATCTCTATAGTGCAGATGACTTTGAAGAAGTTGGTTATTTTTTAAATGATTTAAAAGTTATAAAAGAGTTCATTAAATTTTATTTTAAAAGATACATTATACTATTGTCAAAACCAGATCTGAGGGTTTGTCAGATAATACTGAAGTTATTTTTAAGTATTTTATTTATTTTAAAAAATATGTTCTGCCTTCTTCTCAAATCCACATCTGAGGATTTTTCAAACAAATCTGAAATTATTTTCAAGTATTTTTTTTTTATTTTTAAAAGATACGTTCTGCTCTTCTTGTCAAAACCAGATCTGAGGGTTTGTCAGACAATACTGAAGTTATTTTTAAGTATTTTATTGAAAAAGTTAGAGCTAATCTTCGTGTAGTCCTATGCATGAGTCCTGTTGGTGATCCATTTAGGTATGTAAAGAACTTTTAGTATGTAAGTTATTTAAGCTATATTTATTTTTTCATTCTGTATAATTTATTCTTTTTATTAAGTATCACTCCATTTTGAGTTTATTTTATATTGATTATATAAAGTATTTATTTGCAAATATTTAATGTTTAATACCTGTTTTGTTATAACTATTTGTTCAAGAGACACAATATTTCAACACCAATTAACATCACCATCCAACTTCACATCAAACCAATTAACACCACCATCCAACTTAACATCACACCAATTAACACCTCCATCCAACTAAAAGTTAAATTTAGACATAACTCATATCATACAAAAATATTATTTAACTCATTATTATCATATAATACATAAAAATTATGTTTTATTGAAAAGATAGGCAAAAGTTATTAATAAATTAATACAAAAAAAGGAAGCTATAATGAATTTAAATTTAGAACTCAGTGCATTCTATCGAACTTTGTTTTGATGATTCAATTTTGTTTTAGAATTAAAAAGTTAAACATTTTCAATTCAAAAGTTGTTTGCAACTTGTGAATTGAAAATCTTAGTTTAAAACTCCAGCTCCAATATATCCCTGTTACACTTCCAATACACCTCTCTTACATCTCTATTTGTTACACTTCCAATACACCTCTCTTACATCTCTATTGTTACACTTCCAATACACCTCTCTTACATCTCTATTTGTTACACTTCCAATACACCTCTCTTACATCCCTATTTGTTACACTTCCAATACACCTCTCTTACATCTCTATTTGTTACACTTCCAATACACCTCTCTTACATCTCTATTTGTTACACTTCCAATACACCTCCCTTACATCTCTATTTGTTACACTTCCAATACACCTCTCTTACATCTCTATTTGTTACACTTCCAATACACCTCTCTTACATCTCTATTTGTTACACATCCGATACACCTCCCTTACATACCTATTTGTTACACTTCCAATACACCTCTCTTACATCTCTATTTGTTACACATCCGATACACCTCCCTTACATCCCTATTTGTTACACCTCCGATACAACTCTCTTACAGCCCTATTTGTTACACATCCGATACACCTCCCTTACATCCCTATTTGTTACACCTCCGATACAACTCTCTTACAGCCCTATTTGTACAATATACATTTAGTTATTGATTTTACGCAAGATTTATTAGATGTTATTGATATGTTTACTTTTATTACCAAATGTTTTTCTTTCCTAAGGAATTTCTTTTTTAAGGAATCATATTCGACAATACCCTGCATTTGTGAATTGCACTACAATTGATTGGTTCTGCGAATGGCCTTATGATGCTCTGTTGGAAGTTGCTGATAAATACATAAGTGTCATGAATATTGGAACATTAGAAGTATTTTTTTCTTATTTTTTTTTATTTTTTTGTATTCCAAATTTATCAAGCTATAAAATTTTTAGTATATTTCAAACTCAAAAGACATTTGATATTCTGAAAATTTCAACTATTAAAAAAAATTTATTAATTACTTGGTATCATTTATAAATTGTGTTTAGATGAAATCTAGTTTGTCACAGATATTTGCTGTTATACATCAATCTGTGACTGAAATGTCTAACAAGATGCTGTTTGAATTGAAGCGTCACAATTATGTAACACCTACTAATTATCTGGAGCTAGTTGTTGGGTACAAAAGGTTTGAACAAAAGATTTTTACTTAAGGGTTTTAGTTTTTAATTTTTTTTAATGGTTTTTAAAAGTTTCCAATTCGGTGATGCTTTTTTTTTTTTTTCAATTTTTTATCATAGTTTTTTCAATTTTTATTTAATGTTTTTTTTTTTTCATTTTTTTTTTTCAGTTTGTTAGCAGAAAAGAGTAAGTTGCTTGGGGACGCTGCAGAAAAACTAAAAAATGGATTAAAAAAGATTGATGATACAAGAGAAAAGGTTTTATTAATACTTATCATAAAAACATAAAGGCTATCTGTCTGTCTGTGGACATTTTCGTTTTCTACGGTATACTCAAAAACTATAATGTATAGCAAAAAAGTAAAAAATGAACTTTTTGTAATTCAATTGGTGGGTAATCTTGGCGGAAAAAAAATTAAAACTCATTCATGAAGGAGTTATGGTTGTTTTAGTAAATAAAAAACGTTTTAAAGAATTTAAAAAAAAGCGCCATTGTACTTTTATTTGAAATTTTTTTTATGTCATTAAACAGTTTTTTGTACCATTTCATTTTGACATCAAAAAATGTCAAATAAAATTGCGTATATAACTACTGATTTTATATTTTATTTTACATTGTACTTTACATTATATTTTACATTGTATTTTACATTTTATTTTACATTATATTTTATGTTATATTTTACTTTACACTAAGTTATATTTTATACATAGTGGCCGGGTGTTCAGAGGGCATTGTAGAAGGTTGGCAGCAGGTTACATAGTGGGCTAGTAAAGGGCAGGTAGCCTTCAGGCATTCAAGTAGCTGTGTAGCAGACAATATAACTTGCAATTTAGCGTGTGGTTAACCTGCAACCTTTATAATAACTATGAGCAGGCTATGAGTTAGTTATGTAGCGGGCTATGTATATTGACTCATGTCCTAGAAAAAATAAAAAAACAATTAAAACTAATAAAAAGTATCAACCACTTTATTCCGCGATTGCGTGGACTATCCTACTAGTTTAATATATAAATATATACTTACTTTTACATATAAATATACTTACCTTTTATATATAAATATACTTACCTTAAACTGTAAACATCATTAAATTTACTGTAAACATTATTTTATACTAGAAAACATTCTATTTATCTCTTTTTTAATTACTTTTTTTTTTTTTTGTTTAAAAATTGAGGCAATCAAAAATTATTACTATTATGTTGTTGTAAAAAAGTTTTAGTTGTAAATATGTTAATTAAATCATTTTTTTAATTAATGAATACGGTCATATTCAAACAAAAAATAAAATTCAAATTAACCAATTATAATTGATATGTTTAAATTAAAATGAACCAATCTATAATTATGTCAAAATTCAAGTTTTTCCACTTTAATATTTTATATTAAAGTTAAAAAATTTGGAAAAAAGTGTTGTCAAAGACAGTAGACCAGAATAGTTTTAAAGAAAATTTGATTCGATATTAGTGGTTTAATGATTTAATATTAATGGTGTATTAACTAAACTTAGCATGAGTAAAGGGGACATTTTTTTATTTGATACCTTATTATAGCAACATGCTATTTTATGTAACTGCAGACTTTTTATTTGTGCTACATGCACAATATTTGGCATGCGTTTTTATATAAGGGCAGTACTACTATTAAAGGTGTTTTTTTTTTTTGCTTTTTGTTTTTTTGCTATGGATACCTTATTTTGTATGGTAACAAGCTTTTTGTAGACATTTTCTAGATGTTCAGTTTTTGAACAAAATTCACAAAGTTTTGTGATACCAAAGTTCCAATTAAAGTTTATGTATATGTTTTTATTACTTGATGATTGTCATAAGTGTGAAGCTTAAAGTAGTAAATACAAACATGAAATTATTTGTTTTTATTTAGCATAATTCACATTCTCACCCCTAAGCAGGCATTACTTGTAACATTTTTTGCATTAAAAAAAAAATAGTATATATAAAAAATATTTAAATATATTTCATAGATCGACATCTTACAAATCTGCAGGTAAAAGTTCATGTATATTCTATAGCACAAATCATAAAAAAACTAAGTTCAGGAGACAATTAAAATGTTAATAAGTAACCCTGGTTTACAGTTAATTGATTAAAGTTTTAATTTTTCTGCAATTAAGTAAATCAATTTTTTTTTACAGGTGGAGGTTATGTCAGTGGAATTAGAAGAAGCAAAAATACAAGTTGCACAGTTTCAGAAACAATGTGAAGAATTTCTTGTTATAATTGTGCAGCAAAAACGTGAAGCTGATGAACAACAAAAGGTATGTGAAATGTTCTCTTTTTAGAACAAAATGTTCTCTTTTTATAAAAAGGTGTGTAGATATTACTCAAGCTCAAGATTTGAGTAATATAGGTTGTGTTTGGCACTGACTCCTATGATTTATATTTAACAATTTTGATATTGTAAACAATAAAAATTGTTGAAAATTAATTGCTAGATGTTATTTTATTTTTACAGTCTGTCTCAGTACGAAGTGAAAAGATTGCTGAAGAAGAAATGAAATGCAGAGTAATCGCTGAGGCTGCTCAGCTAGAATTGGATGAAGCTATCCCAGCACTTCAGGAAGCTATTAAAGCACTTGAATCACTAAACAAAAAAGATATGACTGAGATTAAATCTTATGCTAAACCTCCTCCTTTAGTTGAAAAGGTACTTGAGGCTGTAATGATATTAAAAGGATATGAGCCAACATGGGCAGAAAGCAAGCGCCAACTTGGTAATTGATATTTAAATTAATTAAAAAAACAGTTAAATTCATTCTATTTATATATTTTATGTACAGTTAAATGTATTCTATGTGTATCTTTTATGTACAGTTAAATTAATTAAATAAATGTTTGTATATATAGCTAAATTCATTCTAACCGCACGTACAATTAAATTCATTCTTTACATATATTTTATTTACTGTTAAGTTTTTTGCATAAAAAATGTCTTCACATCCTTTTTAGTTTCATAACATGTTCCAAATATGGAACTTTTTTTTTTCTTTTTCCACACTGCTAGTTTACAAAGATGGAAGATAATTTATAAATTTATGTAACATAATTGTTTGGCTTTATCTCTAAAATAAAGTGAAGGTTTTCAAAACTGGTTTATTAGTCTCTTTCTCCTAAGTTCATTTAGAGAAATGTTTTTATTTTAATTCTAACAATTTTCAAATTTTAAAAAGCAGCTTTTCTGAACATCAATAAAAGAATGTGTTTGAATAAATGTTAAACTGTTGAATAAAATAATTTTTATTTCAGGTGATTCAAACTTTATAAACAAGCTAATCAACTTTGATAAAGACAACATGAGTGATCGCGTGCTAAAAAAAATTGGAACATATTGTAATCAAGCAGATTTTCACCCAGATGTAGTTGGGCGTGTTTCATCTGCAGCCAAATCTCTTTGTATGTGGGTGAGAGCAATGGAAGTTTATGGACGGATATATAGGGTGGTTGAACCAAAAAAAATTCGACTAGCCAATGCGACAGCACAACTTGATGAAAAACAAAAGTCTCTAGCTGATGCAAAAAATAAACTGAAAGAGGTGACAGACAAAATAGAGGAGCTAAAAAATGATTATGATAAAAGACTTTCACAAAAAGAAGAGCTTTCATGCAAAGCAAAGGTGTTAGAGTTAAAACTTGATAGAGCTGCAAAACTTGTTTCAGGGCTAGGTAGTGAGAGGGAGAGGTGGGAAGAAACTGTTTCCGTAAGTTTTTCGTTGTGCATTTTTTTTGCCTAATTTTTTCTTAACCATTTTTTGATTTGAAATTGAAATAATGACAATATCAAATAAACCAAAATACAACAAAAAAAAAACAAAAGTTTAATTTAGGCATTTTTTTGTATGTTTAGTCTTTTGTTAAGCACCATAATACTATTTTTTTTTCTAAAGACTTTAGAAGAAAACATCACATATCTTGTTGGGGATTGTCTGCTTGCAGCAGCATTTTTGTCTTATGCAGGTCCATTTCTTTCAAACTATCGTGATTATCTTGTAAAACAAACCTGGCTTGTGCTGATTCGCAAACTTAAAATTCCATGCAATCAGGATTTCTCATTTGCAAATTTTATGGCAAAACCAACTGTTGTTCGTGAGTGGAATATACAAGGTCTTCCTTCAGATTTATTTTCAACAGAAAATGGATGCATTGTTACACGTGGTACAAGATGGCCTCTTATGGTAGACCCTCAGGGTCAAGCAATTAAGTGGATTAAAAATATGGAAGGAAAGCGAAATCTCAAGATAATAGATTTACAACAACCAGATTTTTTAAGAACTCTTGAAAATGCAGTTCAATTTGGTATTCCAGTGTTGCTTCAGAATGTTTTTGAAGAGTTGGATCCTTCCCTGACTCCTTTGCTCAACAAGTCTTTAATAAAACAAGGTTAATTTTTTTCTTTAATAAAACAAGGTTAATTTTTTTTTTTAATAAAACAAGGTTAATTTTTTTCTTTAATAAAACAAGGTTAATTTTTTTAATTTATAAATAAAATTGATGGTATTTAACGTCTTTTAAAATTGCTTTTTTTTTTAAAGGGGGTCGTATGCTAATAAAACTTGGTGATAAGGATGTTGAATACAATCCTGATTTCAAGTTTTATATTTGCACAAAGCTTAGTAATCCACATTACACGCCAGAAATTTCTACCAAGACAACCATCGTCAATTTTGCTGTTAAAGAACAAGGTTTGTTTTTTTTAACAAAACAAAATAATTATTTTGAATTGTAAGCATTTTTTTTTTATTATAACTATTCATTATTTTTTTATTATTATAATTATCCATTATTATTTTATTATTATAACTATTCATTATTATATACTAAAACATCTTGTCTTTATTAAAAAATATTTTATCTATCGCCATAATGAAATAAGTATCTTTTATTAAATTAATTTTTATTGGTTGATACTTGCTTTTTTTTAAAATTTCATATTAATATTGAACAAATAGTATGTATTTATGTATGTATGTATATATATATATATATGCATATATATATATATATATATATATATATATATATATATATATATATATATATATATATATATATATATATCAACTCATTTCACCGCGCAGCGGCCTAGTTCATCAAGGTTCTTGTTTCGGAGTTATAGAGTTGAGAGAGGGTTATAACCACAAATAAGTAGCCTCCTCGTCTGTAGTGGCCTTCTTGGCCTTGAGGAGGTGAATTATATAATATATATTGAATAATTTATTGAAGAATCTAATAAAATTTAAATGTTTGGAAATGTTATATGTATTTTTAATAGTACAATTTTTTTTTGGTTTTAAAGTAATACTGTCTCTTAAGGTCTTGAGGCACAACTATTAGGAATTGTTGTGCGTAAAGAACGGCCAGAGCTTGAAGAACAAAAAGACATGCTAGTTATAAACATTGCTGCTGGTAAAAAGAAACTTGAAGATCTTGAAGATGAAATCCTCAGGTTTAATATATCTAATTTTCACAGTTACATTAATAGTTATTTTAATTTTTACTATTTTAGTTATTTTTTTATTTAGTTATGTTTATATTATTGTATTTTTACATTATGTTTTAGTATTAAGTAGCCTCAGCTTTATTTAATTCTTATAAAAGTTTTATTCTTATAAAATTTTTTGATAAAAGCTAGGAATTATTCATAACTTTACTTTTGTCAATAGTTAATTATACATAAATTTGGTTTTTAATTTTATCTTTTTTTTTATAGACTTTTAAATCATGCTCAAGGTTCATTGTTGGATGACGAGCAACTTGTGAACACTCTGCATTCTTCAAAAATAACATCAAATCAAATTTCTGAACAGCTGAAAATTAGTGAGCAGACAGAAATGAGAATTGATGCAGCTAGAGAGGTTTTGGGCTAACCTTTTTTTATTACCTTTTTAAGTTTAAAGGCTTTTTTTCTAACTTTTATTTGTTGTATATATATATATGTTTTTCTTCAATATTTATTATAATTTCTAATTAATTTTGTGTATTTCTAAACATGTTAGGGCTACAGATTGTCAGCTCAACGAGCATCAATTATGTTTTTTGTTTTAAATGACCTTAGTCATGTTGATCCTATGTATCAATTTTCATTAGATGGTTATATTGATCTTTTCAATAACTCGATAGACAAAAGCAAAAAGACTCAAAAGTTAGATGAAAGGATCCAAAACTTAAATGACTTTCATACATATGCAGTGTACAGGTATCTTTTCTTTCAGTATTTCAATATCATTTAAATATATATATATATATATATATATATATCTGTGTGTGTATGTGTGTACATATATATTTGTGTATATATATATAACTATAATGTATAAATATGGTTATAATATTTATGCATAAATATAACTGTTTTTTAACATAAAATAATAATAAAAATTTGTGTAAATACAGAAATCTTCAATATTGTGTTAATCCTTTTTTATCACTGTGAGAAGTCAATTTGGTATATTGTAAACACAGTTAAAAAGCCATTTCTTCCAAATGATCATATGCCGAAACAAGTATTAATCCGTTCTATTTTGATGAAAATTTTCTTTCTTTAATAACTCCCATATATCTGGGGATTTCCCTGGCCAATAGTCAAACTTTTTGAGAAACTAATACTATTTTAATAGGTTTTGCAGAATGGCATGAAGTTCCATCTTGCATAAGTTTTTTTTTTCAGAGGCCATTTCTTTAATTGAGCTAAGACATGTTTCAATAATTTTTTATCAGTCCTGTTTTAATTTTTCATCCACAATCTACCGTCAATCAAGGTCTTTCCACTAATAACCAACCAAAGCATAACTTTTAAGAGGATGTTGACCTGTCTGGATTATACATTTGTTATGGAAATTTTATTTGTGGCCTTTTATTAAGCCTTTTAAGTCATAATTTTTGTTGTAAACTCATGGATATAGCATACCTTGTTAAAACAGAATAAAAATCATCACAGAATAAAAGACTAAAGTATTAAGAAAAAAGACTGAAACTGAAATATTAGGAAAAAAAATTATCACCAATGCATTATAACAAACTGGTTTCCAGTCATCAACAGTGAAACTGCGATAACTCTTTGTCCAATCCATGCACTTTTTTCTTTGAACACTTTTTTATTTGGTTAAGTTTTTCTTTTTTGCTTGTATTCTACTTCTAATGCCAAACCTATGCAAACTTTGTCTAACAGTGGTTTCTTCATTTAGTCTCACCTCATTTAACTTCCTGGTAATTGCACAACATTTAGAAAAGCTATTTTATCTTTATTATCTATGCTAGCATTCTCTCATTTCTTAGTATTATTTTCTTTTTGGGCTGCATTTGCTTTCTCTCCGAATAAATAATGGGAGGCCATTTTTTGATTTGTTTTAGATTTACTTTACACTGCATCTTGATATATCACATTTTCTTGATGTTTGATAATACTTATTGGTCAAAAGATATCAAATAGTCAAAAGATATCAAAAAAAACATATCAAAATAGTATTGATGACCAAACATGAATTTAGTGAATTAAACAAGTACTACTTGTTCCCCTGAAATAATTGCCACATTAAAAATAATTTCTAAAAAATTGAAAGTGTTCAGTCTTAAACAAAAAAAAAAAAAAAAATCTACTTATAACAATATTGCAAATCGATTTAAATGGCAGTTGAAACATTAAATCGTCATAACACCACAAAATTGAAAAGGTAAGCTAATAATTTAATCATGGGCTGTATATATTAAGTTTATACTAGGGACTTTTGTTTAAAAAAATAAATTTTAAAAAAAGGACTAATTAAAAAAAAGCACGGTTGTTTAAAAAAAAAATTAAAATTAAAAAAGAGCGCCAATTTAAATTAGGAGCAGCATACACAGCTCCCCAAGTGCGTTTTAAGAGAGCTTTTCTTCGCTCTCATGTTCACTTTTTCCAGCCCAGGCTTGTATATATATCTTATATATGTTTGTCAATTCTGATTGATTGCTTGATTGTTTGTTACTGGTTGGCAGTCAGACCGTTGGTCCTAGAAACTTGAAATTTGGCATGGATGATCCTCATGACCCAGGGAGTGGCATAGGCTATGTCAAGTTGACCTTGGAAGTCGCTGGAGGCCGCCCATGGTCGTGGGGGCTTTCAAATGGTCATTTCTGGGTTGGGGGGAGGGTAGAGTGTTCCTTGTGAAGTGCAGAGTTGTTCCTTGCTCCCGGGGGTGGGTGTGCGGATGATCTCGGGTATGACCTTGGAGGTCGCTGGAGGTCGGAATGGTCTGGGGGATGGGTTGAGCGTTTCCTATGATGTGATTTTTGTCGGTTTCTGTCATGTTCCATGGATTGCTTTTGCCTGTTTCGTTGTTTTCCAGAGTTTTCTGGAATGTTCCATGTTTTCCGGAATGAGCCAGAATTTTACGGAGTGGTCCGCAGTTTTCCAGCAATGTTCCATAGTGCATAATGTGGCTGTTCTATTACCTTCCAGAGCATTTGGGGGCTTTCCAGAGTGTTCCGTGGTGCTCTTTGGCTCCGTCTGGAGCCTTCCATGGGGATGTAGATTGATCACCAGAGATCGCACATAGCTCAGTTTTTACCGGCTTGCTGAGGTGAACATATCATTTGCGGGTTTGCAGTTCTGGGAGTCAGTTCAGGGGGTCGCTTTGCTCTTTGCATGTTGCTGCGGGAATGGGTGAGGAAATATTGTTTTTGGTGGTAACTAATTCATTTTTGGTTCTTTTATTTTGTGGTGGTCAACTTGGTACAGGAGCATTGTTCTTTTCAAATGAATATTGTGTATGAATATATATAAAATTATGTGTCTATGGTGTATATAAAATCCCCGGATGGAAGAACTTTTAGTGTTGTGTACCAAGAGGCTCTGCAGCGGTTTTTTTATAGTACCCAGGATTGAGTGGGTTTTCTTTGTACACCAGCAACTTTGATTTGTTTTGCCGGTGCCCAGCGACATAGGCACCTCTGCTAGTATATATATATATATATATATATATATATATATATATATATATATATAATATATATATATATATATATATATATATATATATATATAATGATATATAATACAACGTACAATATACATATGTACATATAATACAATATACAATGATATATATATATATATATATATATATATATATCATTGTAAAATCATTAATTAATAACTAAAAGCCTTCTGGACTGTAGTGGCACCATAGCCTTGGGGAGATAAATGTATAAAAAATTTTATTGATCATACATATTAAATATATTATGTATATATATAAATGTATATATATACAGTGGCTATTCTAGCAAAATAATTTCGGCTGCAGTTTTTGGGCAAAATTTGGAAGAAATATTTCTGAATGTAGGCATTTTTTTGCCAAAAACAAATTAGCTGTAAAAAAAAAACAAAAAAAAAAACATTCTCAATTTTGAATTTGGGCGGCACCCAAATTGGCGTCCAAATACAGATGACACTGTCAAAAACAAGAAAAGCCCTCGATATATATGCACACATCCACTACTGTAGATTTTCAAACAAATTTAAAAGAAAAGAATAATCAGAAAATGAAGTTTTTCATGCAATAATAATTATCTTTCATGCATAAAATCTGCCTTCTAAAAATTTCAAATTGTTTTTAATGTGTGCACTGTACCCCCACAAATGACTATTTTAGTATGACATCATCAGTGATGTTTTAGGCATAACTAAATATGCAATATGCAATCAGTACTTTAATCTTTCTAAATAACTTTTTTTAAGTTTGTTACAGTAATAAATGACTTTGTAATATATTTTTATCTAGAATAAACAAATCTAAACTTTTACATAAAAATATATGTCTAGTTTACTACCACCAGTTGGTTTTTAAACTGGTTGTTTTAAATTTGAAATATTAACAATTTTTGTTTGGTTTACTTTTAGATACACTTGTCGTGGTTTGTTTGAAAAGCACAAGCTGCTCTTCTCTTTTCAGATGTGTGCAAAAATTCTAGAAGCATCTGGAAAAATTAACATTGATGAATATAATTTTTTTCTACGAGGTGGAATAGTACTTGATAAAGAAGAACAAATGGATAATCCCTGTTCCTCATGGTTATCTGATGCTAGCTGGGATAATATTACAGAACTTGATAAGTTTGTATTTAATCTATATGTTGTATAAATATTTAACATAAAACAAATATATAAAGAAAAAAAAAAATTTAGGTTACCAAATTTCCATGGAATAATTGCATCTTTTGAGCAATTTTCACAAGACTGGAATCAGTGGTTTATATCTGCAGAACCAGAAAGTACTCCTTTAATAGGTTGGCATATATATTGATTATATCAGAGGGAAATATGTATTTAAAAATGTATATTAAAGATTATTTTAAATTATCACTTTTCTTTTTCATTAGGCGAATGGCAAAATGGTTGTAATGAACTGCAGCGTATGCTAATTATTCGTTCATTAAGACCTGATAGAGTTGGATTTTGTGCTGCATCATTTATAGTTAATAATTTAGGGCCCAAGTAATGTATTTAAATCTAATAAATTTTGGAGTTTAAAATAAAAATTATCACTTATGATATATATTGCCAAATATTATTTTTAAACTTAAAATATTATGAAATTAAGTTATTTTTTAATTAAATTTTTCAAAGATTTGTAGATCCCCCTGTACTTGACATGAAGGCTGTTTTAGAAGATTCTAATGCAAGAACACCACTTATAATTGTACTTTCACCAGGCGTGGTATGCTTACTTTACTGCATTAAGTCTTATGTTGTTAATAATGTACTTGGGTTTATTATTAAAATGTATTTGTGAATTTATAGTTTGTAATTATATTTGTAATTAGTTATAATATATAAATACAAATTATTAAACTAACACTAATGATAAAGTTTATATAAGACTTTCAGTTTTCTTTTTTTTTTTTTTTTTTTTTTGTAAACATATTTTGTTATCAGGATCCAACGGCATCTTTGTTACAACTTGCTGAATCATGTGGCATGATTAACCGTTTTCATATACTATCACTTGGGCAAGGACAAGCACCTATTGCAACTCGAATGCTTAAGGAAGGTGTTCAAGAAGGCAATTGGGTCTTTTTAGCTAACTGCCATTTATGCTTGAGTTGGATGCCATATTTAGACAAACTTATTGAACAAATTCAAGTTGAAAAACCTCATCCAGATTTTAGACTTTGGCTAAGTAGCAGTCCTCATCCAAAGTTCCCTATATCTATATTACAAGCTGGTATCAAGATGACAACCGAGCCACCTAAGGTATGTTATATTAAAAAACCTTTTTAAAAAACCTTATCATTAGAATATGATTTAAAATTGTTAGAGTAGGCAGGACCAAAGAAAATTAGCCACAAGTTGGTGACAAGTGGTATCAATGAATTTTTTTTTTTTACATTTTTTGTTTTAACCAGTGATTGATATAAATTAAATTAAATTGGATTCCATTTTTTTTTTCCTCTTTAATTTATCTACAAAAGTGGTAGTGTAGAACGCTCACCTCATAAGTGAGAAGTTCTGAGTACCATGCTCAACTTTTTTGTCTGTGCAGCGGTCTTGTTTGTCAAAGTTTATGTTTTAAAGTTATAGAGTTGAGAGAGGTTTGTAATCTACAATTAAAGTAGCCTCCTCAACTGCAGCGGCCTTCATGGCCTTGGGGAGGTGAATTAACAAATATATATATATATATTTATTTATATATATATATTTATATATATATATATATATTTATATATATATATATATATTTATATATATATATATATATTTATATATATATATATTTATATATATATATATATATATATTTATATATATATATATTTATATATATATATATATATATATATATATATATATATATATATATATATATATATATATATATATATATATATATATATATATATATATATATATATATAAATATATATATACATACATACATATGTGTGTATATATATATATAAATACAGCTACCATATAAATTTTGCATGCATTTGATTCAATTTGTGGAGTTTTTTTCAAAAATCAAGATTAAAAGAGTAACAAAGCTAAATGTAACATAAATACATTTTTTTCTTAAATACTAATTCAATACGTTTTTGCGTTCTTTCAGAGAGTTAAAAGTGTTGCAAAGACATTTTCTGAATCAAGCTTTTTGAAGCATGGTATGCTTGAAGAATCTTTGATTTTAATTTACTCTAAATGTTTTCTATTGGGTTGAGAATTAGGCTGTGGCTGAGCGACTCCAACACGTTAACTCCTTATTCAAGAACATTTGATATTGATGCTTTTAAAGAATAGTTTTGCATAAATAAAGATAATAGATGATTTTCAAAAGGATTCAGATTTTTTTGTTCTTAAAACTTTATATAGCGTTCAAAACACATTGTTTCATTTTTAGGAAAAAGGTATAGTGCTCCTTTACCCTATTTGCCACTAAAGTAACCCAAAATATTACATGCACACTATGTTTGACAATTTTTTGCTATATAGCAGTTATTTGGGTTAAAATATTGACTTTTTATGTGTGCACATTTATAAAATAATAAGGAAACACATTTTCCTATCTGCAAGGGAAATGCGGTTAGGAGTTACATATAAATAGTTTATTTTGTTTCAACAATTTGATTTGCAGTTCAAAAGTAAAATAAGATGTATAAAAGTTCAGTGTCTATTAAGAATCGACTTCCCATCAATGTCTTTAAAATACCAGTTTACATCTGCCAGATGCACGATAACTTCAAAATCAATACTAATATTGACAGAAAGGAGAAATATTAGTGCATGTTATGCAAATTTTGTGCAAGTTGAATTAAAGAAAAAGATAAGAATCCTATTGATTTAATAATATTGGTAATAAAAGTTCAAAATGTTTTGATTAAGATTGGCCCAAAGGGTGAGCAGATTTTTAGCCCTCTTAAACTATTGAACTGTTTGGTTTCAGTGATAGTTCTTAATATAGTTTTGTTCTTTTTAATCCTCATTTTTAACAGTTGTAAAACAAAACTTTTTTTTTGCAAATCATTCTCACTAATATTAAGTTCCACTATTTTATCACTTAATATAATTTTTCACTATCATGATTTCACATATTCATTAAAAGGGTGTCAACACCCTTTTAGTGAATTTGTGAAATCATGATAGTATAATACCAATATGATGAAATTGTGAAATCATGTTATTATAATACCATTATAATAGTAGTGACATGTCATTACCATTAAAATGAATCTTTAGTTTATTACCTCTAGTTTTTTTTTAATTTATAATAACAAAATAGAATTGTTTTTTGAAAAATTTTTTGAAATAAACCAATAACAAAATATTTTAATTTAACATTTTTTTAAAAACTAACAAGTTTATAAAAAAAAAATTTAGATTTTTGTTAAATTTTTAAAGTCAAAAATTTTTTTATAACTATTGTAGAACCATTTGTTTTGTTTTGTTTTAAAGAAAGATGATTAAAATGCTGAACAAATTTTACTGAAGTATTGATTTAAACAAATTTTTACTAAGAACACTCACTGTTAGACATACCATGCTACACTGTTTATGCATATATACGTGATAATATAAACAATATGTGTGTGTATTAATAAGATATTTACATATATTAATGTATATATTTGCATGTTTTGCTCAAAAAAACTTAATTAAATATAGTATAATAAGTAGTAAATTTGAAATTTATTTTCAGGGTATGAAATCTAACTTGAAGCGCTTATATCAACTTGTAACAGATCAGCAATTCAATAGGTGTCACCACCAGGAAAAGTACAAAAAGCTATTATTTTCACTTTGTTTCTTTCATAGTATTTTACTTGAAAGAAAGAAATTTTTGCAGCTAGGATGGAATATTTCATACTCATTTAATGATTCTGACTTTGAAGTAAGAATTTAACAATTTTTAAATGCTTATATATAAGTACTATTTGATTCCTGCATCCATTTTTTTTTTTTTTTTAATACTTTTTTGTTCAATTGATCAGCTTTTTTTTTCATTGTTGTAAGAATATATAAAAAAATTAACTGAATCAGTTTATCAAATAGGTGGTCACATAAAGTTAATACTGTTTTAATTAAAAATTAACAACAAAAACAAAGAACTTAAAATTTATATAAATAATATTTTGAATTATATCAATATTTATACAAAAAATTTAAAAAATATTTATGTATCATACATTAATAGCATAAAAGATGTGCAGTTTATAATTGCAAAGAATAACAGTAGTAAAACATTTTAACAAATAAATATCTATATTAAAATTCTTACAACATAAAGAGTGACAGATAAAACTTTATAATTTTTACAGGATGAGGAAAGATGTTGCAAAATGAGCTAAAATTAACAGCCGGTTTAATTTAGTTAAGCTTTCAGTTTAGCTTATCAATTAAAAATGAACAAATATGAATCAAATTAGCAAAGCAATTTGTAAGGCTCTATGTTGTGTATGTATGTATGTATGTATGTATGTATGTATGTATGTATGTATGTATGTATGTATGTATGTATATATATATATATATGCATATGTATATATATATATATATATCTATATATATATATATATGTAAATGTATGTATATAAATATATACAATTGTATATATATATATATATATATATATATATATATATATATATATATATATATATATATATATATATATATATATATATATATATATATATATATATATATATATATATATATATATATATATATATATATATATATATATATATATATATATATATATATATATATATATATATATATAATTGCTTTATTTTATCAATTTAAGAGACAAAATCTCTTGTTTGTTTAAGAGTGATCAATATAATGTAAATTTTTTACAAAAGAGATCAGTACTAATACATATAGTGTTAGATTATTTTAATAGACACAACTTTTGCAATTTAATTTAAAGTTTCATTCCTTTCGGCAATCATCAGCAATAATTAGCTCTATACATTGAGCACTCTTCTTAAGTTGTCTTGAATTATTCAATCAAGAACATTCAGATTCCATCAATAAAAGAATACAAAATACAATTACTTGATAAAACCAAAACATTAATTAAAAGAATGAGATGGAAAGCATTTTTCTTTATTAATAAAAATCAAAAAAGTAAGGAAAATATTTTTTATAAACATTTCAGCATAAAAATATCAAATTATCCCAAACAAATTTCTGATATGTCTGCATTTGAAAACGATCTGATATATCTAATAAAAAACATTAAATTTTGTAAAGTATACAATAATTTTCAAAACATAATTTATATATCTAAAGAAAATTACTCCCATTCACTTACAAATGTTATTACCTCAGCATACAAAATATTGAATACAAAAATAAAAAGTAAAATAAATAAAGAAGGTAAACGGATTATACAGAATCACTGCGTTTTCAATAAAATTGACATTGACACATCTTCAAATTGTTTTATACACGGCTGTTTCACTCAATATAAAAGCGAGCTTGATGTCACAATTATTTTTGTGTTTATCAAAAAAAAAGTATTTCCGCAAAAAAAGTTTAAAAATGCACTAACTTTAAAGTAGTAGTGTTTTTTTCCTATAAGCGCTTTCATCTTCAAATAAAAAAAATATAAAAGACCTATCCTTTTTTTTTAAATAAATATTTACATTAAACCGAATAAAAATATTAATGTTTAAATATTGCTAATGATTTGGGATGACTTTTCTGTTTTTTGTGGCTTTTACAGAAAACCTGTCTTGGGTCAACTAAGATTTCATAACATAGCTACATGCCTCATGGTTGAAATTTGGAACATTTATAAATAAATGTCTATTCTATCTAATTTTTGGTGCGGATTCCTTATTTTTTATTTTTTAACTATTTTTTTGATGCATTTATATTTTTAATTTTATTATTAAATAATGAAAATTGTATTATTTTTGTAATCCACACCAAATTATTGAAATTTCAACCCTTTCTGCATATAAAAATCAAAAAATTGTTTGCTGTACCTCTAGCTATGTTATGAAATATGTTTTCAAACTTAGCTAGTTTAGAAACAAATTTTTCTAGTTTAATGCGCAAAATATTGTTTACATTTCAAAACAATCACGTGACCTTTAATTTTGTACGTCCTAAGCAAATATGTAATAAATTTTATGCAAATAACTTTCTTAGCGAGACAAATTTCGAAGTTTAAAATAAACAAAATTAGGCGGTTTTTTCTTTAGAATGGTGCATAAATCTATTATCTACTTGGTGTTCAAAGATCGTTTTTTACCTAAAAAACTTATTAATGGATCAACTTATTAATGGATCAATCAAAGTTTTTATGAGAATAAAAACACATTATCAAATAATTTAAATTAGCTATTTGTATATTTAAAGAAGCGTTAATTTTTTGTGTAAAAAGATTGATTCAAGTGCCATAAAGTAATTCAAAAGCAAGGTTAATTCAAAAACTTTAACTCAGTTTTGGTCATGAATTATTTTATTAGAGTCTTTATTTATTAACAACCATATTATTAAAACATGCATAGAAAAAAATTGCTCAAGTTTTTTAAAGGCTTTAGCTTAAAATGTTAAGAATAAATATTTCAAACTTGAAATCTGGTTTTATTTTATAATGCATTGAATTTATAAACTTAGTGAATTATTTTCTAAAACAAGAACTCTTAATAACCATACTTTTCAACCTTATTTTAAACCTGGAAATTCTTTAAGTTATATTCACGCTGATTCAAACCACCCGCCTAATATTTTAAAACAGCATCCACATTCAATAGAGTTAAGATTGTCTTCAGTTTCGTCAGGTGAAGAAATTTTTTAGATCTACTCCTATGTACAATGGCACACTGTTAAGGTCTGGTTTTAATCACAAACTTTAATACGGCTAGGGCTGTTTCAAGTAACTTAAATACTTTAGTAGTTGTTTAAACGAGTCAATTACTTAATTAAATTTTTATTACTTAAGTAAAATCAAGGAATTTTTTTTATTCAAATTTAATCAAAAGGAAGTTGGTATTTTATAAAAATTTGTATAAATCTTCAATTATATAGTATTATAGTTTTTTTAGTTTAAATTTTGGTGATATCTTGATTTTGTTATATACCACATTTGCTGGTAAAAGATTATATTTAAGACTATCCAAAGAAAAAAGAAGTTATAGCAGGAGATATTTTTAAGTCATAACAAATTGCAAATTAATGTCTTTCTTACGATCTTAAAGATCATAAAGCATCTACATTTAAATGTCAAGCTAATGTTGAAACTAAATCACCTTTACAAAAAAAATTGTAAGACTCAAGAACTTCATCTTTTCTTAGCTCAAAATTCCAATTTAATAATAAACAAGGCTTACTTAAATGTTTTTAACACTATCATCAGTTGTTGAAGAAAGATGTTTTAGTGCTTCTAAACTTTTATTTTATTTATTACAAATTTGAAAACATCTATAAGTGATAAATTGTGATAAATAATATTGTGATTATTAATATTAAGTAATAAATAAAATCAAAAAATTGTGTTTTAAGCGTTCTACCTTGAAAATTTAGTTAAGTTATGATTTGTTATACCTATATAGTACTATGAAACAAAAATGTATCTAATATTTCATTGTTAGGAAAATTACTAAAATTACTTAAAATTACTCAAGTTACTTAAGTAATTTGAAAAAAATTGCTTAAAATTACTTTAGTAATTTTTTACCATTATTTAAACACCCCTTCACTGGCCTTCTCGTAAAAGGCATGCGATCACACGCCTTATATGACCACTTATATATTTCTTTGTTTTAACAACTTGACCACGGCTCTTTGCAAGTTTTGATAATTAGTGTGTTTAAAAAATGCGCTAAAAAAAAAGCAAATGCAGTTTTTAATTTTATTGATTCCATAATTACAATTAAACTCCTACAAAATTTTGTGAGTACTTTAATGCAACTTAATTAAAGACAATCATTGAAAAAAATATTAAGATTAGAGTTTAAGGCAAAATGAGTACAGAAGCTATCAAAAACTAATTACAAACCATTTTATTATGGAAATATAATTTCTAATTATATTTTTATATTACAATAATCTTGAAACAATCTGCCAACTATTTTTTATCCAAGGGCGTGACATCGTTTTTTTTTTTTAATGTACTTAGACTTCTTAAATTAGAATTAAAATAGAATTTTTTTAAGAACGTAGAAACAATTGCATCTGACAACTATTTTTTATCCCAGAGCGTGATATATTGTTTTTTTTTTAATTTACGTTGACTTGTGTATCTTTATTTATTGACGAACGTCTAATTTAAGAGATTTACGTCAAATAAAATTCAAACAATTTTTATTCTAGTTAATAAGTTGTTAAATATATCAAAGATACTTGGTAAATTCATTCAATTTTTATTTTTCAAGAACCTTTTTTTTTACACATTTGCAAAGTGCACGCAAATTAATGATAAATGCACAATAAAAAACTTTTAAAAGTGCAAAAGTTTTAATATGCAAACAAATATTTTTTCACTTTATGGAAAATAAGAAATTTTAAAAAAAGCATGCTAAATTTTATTTCTAATGAATACATTTGGTTTAAACTTTTAATGTAATTGCTAAAAACATAAAAGAAACCGTCGTTAAACGTTATGATCTCTTTTCTCAATAAAAGAAAGCAATCGAAATATTTGAGCATAGTTTCTTTTGAAGTTTTTGCAAAAGCATTCATTTTAATTAAAATTATGTATGCATTTGTGAGCGCATGCAAAAACCATGCTAAAACATAATTACTTTTTTCTATAGCGTATATATATAGTAATTTTAATATATATATAGTAATTATATATATGTAGTAACTGTATACATATATAGTATATATATATATATAGTCATTTTTCTATAGCGTATATATATAGTAATTTTACTTAAAAGTGACACTATTGAAAAAATACGTTTTGGCATTAATTTAAGTCTGTGAAATTAATTGTTTTTCATATTAAATATGTGTTTTTTATAATAAATAAAAAACTCATGACCGCAAAATTATTTTGAAAAAAACTGCTGAAGTAATACATTTGTTTTGAAAAATCCTAATCAAACGGCAACGTTTGCATAAGCAAAATTAAAGAAATGTGATGTTTGTTTTTCTGTCTGTTTTTTAAGAAATGCACGCACATTTGTCGATTTGTCGCACCATGTATCCTATTGATTTTTTAATAACATTTTAAACTTGCACCACAAAATTAAATTTTATGGCACTTTTAAACAGCCTAAGTTACTTACGTTTTTAAACATCAATTTCTAAAAAAATAAATAAAAAATCTGATGGGAAGATTTATTTTAATTTTAATTTGCTTTGTTTTTTTTAGCGCAATTTTTTAAACGTGCTAATTATTAAAACTTGCAAAGAGCCGTGGTCAAGTTGTTAAAACAAAGAACTTTATGCATGGTCAAATAAGGCCTGCGACCGCACGCTTCTTACGAGAAGGCCTGCCTACATACTGCCCTAATATAAATTTACCTCATACCAAAAACCCTAAACCCAACATCATTTTGTTTAACCCTCCTTTTAGAAAAAATGTTAGCACTAATGTAGGAAAAAGCTTTTTAACCATAGTCAACAAATATTTCCCAATTGATCACATATTCCAACAAATTTTCAACAGAAACACAATAAAAATAACTTATAGCTGTATGCAGAATATGAAATCTTTTTTAAATGCACACAACCAACAAATTATGAACAACAAAAAATTTCTATCTATAACTAGCTGCAACTGCCTTAATAAAAATACCTGCCCTTTATCAAATTAATGCTTAACAAAAAACATTGTATACCAAGTTAATATAAGTTCCAATTATCCTACTAACACTCCTGTCAACCAGTTCTACATTGTTAAGTGAAACACGATTCAAAATTAGATATGCCAACTATATAAAGTCATTTAACATATTTATACAAAATATTTAACATCTTTATACAAAAATGACACTGAACTATCTAAAGAATTTTGGAAATTGAAGGATGCAATTTAAATCCAGTTGTTAAATGGAAAATAATTAAACAGTGAAATGCAGTTACAACAGTTGCAACCCAACCACCAAAACCTGTAAACTATGCATAAACGAAAAATATGTAATTCTTTTCTCCAAAAATTAAAATCTTTTAAACAAAAAAATGGAAATGGTATCTGAGTGCAGGCATCAAAACAAGTTTCTTCTCGCCCTATTTAACACAAATGATTAAGCAATTTTCTAATTAAAATTGTTTTGTTTTGACGTCAGAACTCATTCTATTGTGTTGTTATTGTTTTTCTGTTTTTTCTGTATTTTGTATTTTTTAATAGTTTTTTTTTTGATCTGAAGAATAAAATATAGCTGATGTTTGCCGAAATGCATGAAACTTTATGTTCCATCATAAAAGTTGTATTTTTTCAAATAATCTAACACTACATATATATATATATATATATATATATATATATATATATATATATATATATACACACACACACACACACACACACACACACACACACACACACACACACACACACACACACACACACACACACACACACACACACACACACACACACACACACACACATAAATATATATATACACATATAAATATATATATATATATATGTGTGTGTGTGTGTGTGTGTGTGTGTGTGTGTGTGTGTGTGTGTGTGTGTGTGTGTGTGTATGTGTGTGTGTGTGTATGTATATACATCTAATGTTAATCTAGTGTTTTTTTTTTATTAAATATTTCTAAGATTTTCTGATTTTCTGAAAAAAAAATTAATTAAAAAATTAATATTACTAGCTAATTCATCTTAAAAAGCTTATACATTTGACAAATTTATAATCTGCCTAAAGGTGTTGAGTTTCAAAGAGGTTTGCAAATATTTCAGGTTTTTTAGAAGTACAAAAAAATAAAAAACATGTGTTGGATAATTTATTATTATTTCTAAAAATGACCTGTGAATCGTGTCTGGCTTTTTTTTGTTTTTTTTATTTACACAAGTAACTTCTGTGGAGATTTGTCACCTTCAATAATCAAAGCTTTTGGCAACTTTATATTTATAACAATAATTTAGAAGCATTTTTCACATTATTTTTTACATCTTCATATTGATGGTGGTAAAATGTCAAACTTTTCTTATATAATAACTTATATAATTAATCAATAAGGATTTTTTTAAATAATTAATGACAAGAATTGCTTTTTGAAGAATCCATTAAAGTTTATTTACAAAATATAATAAATAGTGTTTTTTCCACCAACAACATATGTTTTCTCCATCAACAACAGTGTTCAAAACTAGTGAACAACTAAAGTTGCTGTCAGCACCTCGCAATAGTAAAACAACAAACTAGTGAACAACTAAAGTTGCTGTCAGCACCTTGCAATAGTAAAACAACAAATTTTAGAGAGGAAGAGAAAAAGTGTGATACTTATACTTAAAAAAAAAACGTGAGGGGCGTCACTGATACAATGACTGAACAAATTTTGAATAATGAAACTTTATTTTATACATTGTATAATTAATGTTTATATGTATAATTGTGGTTGTTTTTGTTAATTGTTGAGAGTTGATTTTCTCATTTGGAATGTTTATTTCATGGTTAGGTATCAGAGAGTTTATTAAGTATTTATCTAGATGGATACGATGTCACCCCTTGGGATGCTCTTAAATATTTGGTAAGTAATACTGCTTTTATAAATATCTATTTTTAATACTTAATTATGTTGATAATTTATATTAAGCATTTATGAAATGTGTGTTTGACTTCATATAACTTTGGTTTATGCATTTGTACTTATATAATGTTTTATTCTATACTATTTATTATTTGTGTATACACTCTTTTTTTATTAGATAGGCATAAATAGAAATATGAGAAAACGGTTAAATTAAGGGTGTTTTCTCACAAACAAGGGTTTAGAAAAAAAAAAATTATTTTCTTTGATTTTTTAAAATGGGTTTTAACCATAATTGAACCATGTATTTTTAATTTGTTTATATGTTTTAATTACTTTGCTCAATATTTTTTACAAAAATATTGAGCAAAGTAATTTTTATGAAGTTTTAATTTTTTTTAAAAAAGACTTTATACTACCTGGTTTTATCATATAATATAATATATTTATCTTATCAAATAATATATTTACTTGTATGTCTGTATACACATATAAACAAATATATGAATGTATATTTATTCAGTTTAAACTTCATAGTTAAATACTCACATAGTTTGATGAGTTTTTATAATTATAGAATTATTTTAAAACATACTTCTATATTTTACATAATTAAAATAATATAACATGATTTTACAAATTTTTTAAAATTTCTAATAAACATTAAAATTATTTAAGGATAAGCTTTAAAATTATTAAAAATTTAATATACAAAATACAAAAAATAAAAAGGTTTTCTTTTTAATTTTGACAAACATTAGATGGTAGGTTGTTAAATATACTCGAAGCCATTAACTAAAAGCCATCGAATGAAAGTAATCTCTTCTGAACATTTTTCAAGTTTCTAAGCAAACTTCGCATTTAAAAAAAAAAAAGTAAATTTAGTGATTATTTTTCTGTCAATTTTATGCTAAGTTTTTGCACGTTCATCAATTTGTCAAACCCTGTTTCTAAACTTTGTGCCTATCCAAAAACAGTTTTGATTTTTTATAAAATGTCATATAAAAAACAGGTTATTATAAAAAGTCAATAAAAAATAAGTCAAAAAAAAACGTGGGTTATTTTTAAATAATCAAAAATGTCATGGTTTTTTTGGTTTAACTTCCTTTTTTAATTATAAACCGTGTTTAACTTTTTTTATTGAAAAAAAAGAAGTAGGCATTTCACTTAAGTAAATTATATTTTCTATCAGTATTACTGCTATAATAGTTATCAGGCCTCGGCGGGAAGCAAGAGCTTTAGCTCTCGCTCTCACCCACACTCCCCTAAAACAGTTTACAGGAGCAATTTACGGCTCTCGCAAAAGTATAATTTTTCTCATGAAGGTATAATTAAAATTACAAAAGAGTGCGAATTTAAATGAGGAGCAGCTCGCACAGCTCTCCAAATTCGTTTTAGGAGAGCTTTTCTCAGCTCTCGTGCTCATTTGTTCCCGCCGAGGCCTGAGTTATGTTATCAATACATTATTTAATGTTCTGTATATAAAAAAAAGCTTTGTCACTTTTAATAGTCCCATCTTCTTTCTTAAACTATGGCTTAATTTAGCCTTTTATATATATATATATATATATATATATATATATATATATATATATATATATATATATATATATATATTTATATATATATATATATATATATATATATATATATATATATATATATATATATATATATATATATATATATATATATATATATATATATATATATATATATATATATATATATATTCATTTTTTGCATTCACATTTAGTATTTACATGTAAGATTTTTTAACATAAGTCTGCTTTACTTTTTTGCTGTAAATTTAAAGTTGTTTAAAAAATATTATTTTGGTTAAAGTTGATATTTTTTCAAATGGTTTAAATCATTTTGTTTACACTTATCAAACCTGAAACTGCAATTATGGCAAAAAAAAAACCCACTCCTAATTATTATAGATAACTACTTATAAGTGCAAAATATGCTGCCAACACTCCTGGCAATCATTTTTTAAAACTCCCCTCCCTCAATGATTTAAAGAAAAGAGGCTGTTCTAAAAGTTTGAGGTGCTCATATAAAGTACTCAAGTAGGTTATATACAATGGTTTCTTTATTTTTTTTATGTTCATGTATGTTGTTTTTTGAAGTAAAATATATTATAGTAATTTTTTTCTATTGTTCAGTACAAAAAATTTTTTCATTATAAATATTGGGTGATTTTTTTGACCAGAACTGTTTATTTTAAAACATATTTTATAGTAAGTTTATTTTAAAACATATTTATAGTAAGTTTAAGCTTTAAGTTTATCTATTGCTTGTTATGCAAACAAATTGCATAGCAACTAATAATAAGATAAACTTGGAGTGGTGTGTTAAATGAATTGAAAAAACAGCTTTTTGTCAAAGTAGACCTATATAGAGATTGCAATCCTGCACTCTTTTCAATCCAACTGAATTGGCATGGGATAGAATTTCTAATACACATTATAAATCACAAAATGACAATTGTACTTTCTTTTCAGGTATTTCAGAAAAAAATTAGCTCAAAAATTGATAATTTTGAAAAAAATTTATGGTGTGGGTAAATAAACATAATTTGTTTGTAAATCAATTTAACTTTTAATGAGCAAAAATAAAAATACTAAAAACATGAACGTAACTAATTTTTTTAAATATCAAATGTGAGAGAATAATTGCATTAATAGTTTCTGATCGACCTCATTGTCTTGTTGGCAAAATGGTCATAAAGTATTTATGTTTTATATTAGAAACTTGCCTCTTCATTACTTTCATAGACAGACATCTTCAATAATTTTTCAAATTCAAAAGAATCATATTTAGCATCTTCTTTTCATTTCTTCCCTAACTTTTCTTTTCATTCTAAATTTTTAATTCTTCTTTCAGTAATAGAATAAGTAGGAATAAATTTTGAGAATTTTCAATACATTACTTATACAATAGATTGCACCATTACTTTCTTTGTCTTTATTTTATTCAGTTCTAGTCAACATTTTTTTAATTTCTTGACAGATAATGTTTTTTTGATATTGTGATAATGTTCAGAAACTATTAAATGTGAAGCCGTCTTTAGCAACCATACCTAATATCATTGTTACATAGTAATTTCTTAACAAAAGCATGCAATTTATCTGTTGTTGTTTTTTTTTTTTTTTATCATTTATTTTTGAATTCCTTCTTTGTCTTTGCAAGTGTTGAAAAATTTAGGCTCTTGTTTAGTTGCTTCTTTTTCATTTTAAGTTAAAGCTCCACCTTGATGCAAAACATTTGATATTTTATTGACATTTTAAGTTGACACAATGTCTAGTTTTCAATTGTCTTAATGAACCCTTAGTTGAATTTTGACTGATTTATAAAAATAAATCAAATAATAAGTATCATAGCTAGACATAACATGGGCTTTGCATTTTTAATTTTATCACCTTCTTCAAAATATTGTTTTGGTTGGATACTAACTATTCCTATTCTATTTTGGATATTAACTATTGCTTTATGTTGAGCTTAAAAGACTTTATGGCGAATGTAAATATGACAAAATTTTAAAAGTAGGTGGCATATTTTTTTTATTATGCGTACATATTTTTAATTTCACATTATTAACATAATGACTAACAAAGCAAAAAATTTTAAAATTTTTCAAAACGTAGCATTTTAACATTTTTAAAACTAATATTTTACTATAAAAATTGAATTGAAATAGATTTGCAAAATAAAAAATAAAAAAATTTAAATTGTACTTGAAACTTCAGGAAATAATTTCACTTTTGTGTATGTAAATATAAGAATTATAAACAAATAACTTTTGACAAACTAAATCGAGTTTCAAATGTTGCTAACACAATGTATCTCATATCATTGTATCATCAATAGTATAGACGTTTTTCATTAAACATTTGGTTTCAGTATGCATTGTATGACCAACATTTTTCATTAGATTTATTACAATATATAATTTTATATATTTTTAATTTAATTTCTGTTTTTTATTTTTATTGCTGAAATGTATTATGTAGTTTAAATCTTGAAATCCCTGCATTAATTATTTCAGTGCAATCTTGGATTATTCATCTTGCATGCATTGAAATAATGCAAAATTGCTGGAATATATATATATATATATACATATATATATATATATATATATATATATATATATATATATATATATATATATATATATATATATATATATATATATATATATATATATATATATGTGTGTATATATATATATATGTGTGTATATATATATATATATATATATATATATATATACACACATATATATATACACACACATACATATATATATATATATATATATATATATATATATATATATATATATATATATATATATATATATATATATATATATATATATATATATGTGTGTGTGTGTATATATATATGTATACACATATATATATATATATACACATATATATATATACATATATATATATATATATATATATATATATATATATATATATATATATATATATATATATATATATATATATATATATATATATATATATATATATATATATATATATATATATATGGTTAGAATTCAATAAATACGGCTGCGTATAAACTTTTTTTTAAATATAAAAAAAGTTTATACGCAGGTTTAAGTTGAACAGTATACCAGCTAAAATGTTCATGCGGTTCGATATACATTGGCAAAACTAAAAAGAAGGTGATATCGAGATGTATTAAACACCAAAAAAACAGCTTAAAAGGAAAATGGTCCAGTTCGGGTGCAACTGAGCATTCTAAAACATGCCATGGTAAGTTTGATTGGTTGCACCCCAAAACATTATCTATAGCCCCAGAATATCGAACTCGGAAAATCAGAGAGTCACTCGAAATAAGCAAGGCTAGGGTTCAACAGGAGTTAAGAAATGGTGACCTGGTTCTCAATCGGGATGGCGGTGATAACGTAACAACCAAAACCTGGGGGCCATTTATTAATAAAATCTGCTGACGTCAGTTGTTTGAAAAGTTTTTTTCTGTATTATATTGTTTATATATATATATATATATATATATATATATATATATATATATATATATATATATATATATATATATATATATATATAAACAATGAAACCTTCATGATGTTTTTCATGATGCTTTATATGATATACGCAATAAATATTATTTAAACTTAATTTCATTTAAAATATCAGATTGCTGGAGTAAATTATGGAGGACATGTAACAGATGAATGGGATCGCCGTTTGTTAATGACCTATATCAATGATTGTTTTAACGATAATGTTCTTACAGTTCCTTTTTATAAGCTTTCATCTAATAACTACTACTACATTCCCAAGGACGGAGATTTGCGAGCATATCGTGAGTTTCTTAACATGCTTCCAAGTATTGATAATCCAGATATATTTGGACAGACACAAAATGCTGATATTACTAGCCAAATAAGAGAAACAAGGTAAAAATTTTAATCAAGTTTTTTTTTTTATAGAAAATCAATAATGTTAATTGAATTAACAAATATTTACTCATACTTGTAGGAATCTTTTTGAAACAGTTTTGTCCCTTCAGCCTCAAGTATCTTCTGGATTGCATGGTGAACGACCTGAAGATAAAGTGTTGGAGCTGGCAGCGGATGTTTTGAAAAAACTTCCTGATTTAATTGACTACGAGCAAACAGCAAAAATTCTTGCTGATGATTCTTCTCCGCTTAATGTGGTTTTACTGCACGAGGTATGTAAACATGTATGTATATATATATATATATATATATATATATATATATATATATATATATAGGGGTCGAAATAAGTGCCGGACATCGCCGCCCCTCAGACCATTTTTGAGGCTTGCTAGATGGGGACAACAAACCATTGTTCATTTTTTCAGTAAAAATGATCAATGGTGGGTTGCCCTCATATAGCAGGTCTCAAAAATGGTCTGAGGGGCGGCGATGTCCGGCACTTATTTCGACCCCTGTATATATATATATATATATATATATATATATATATATATATATATATATATATATATATATATATATATATATATATATATATATATATATGTATATATATATATATATATACATATATCATATTAAATATTCATTTTTTTCTTTAATTGTATATATATATATGTATATATACATATATATATGTGTATATATATATATATATATACATACATATATATACATTTGTATATCATATTAAATATTCATTTTTTTCTTTAATTGTAAATATATATATATATATATATATATATATATATATATATATATATATATATATATATATATATATATACACAGGGCTTTAAATGTCCAATAAAAATTAAAGAAGTGTTATATATTTATAAACGTAATATATTTATATTACGTTTTTTTTAAAAATTACTATACTATACCAAATGCTTTGTAAATTATTTTGTAAATCAAGGGCGAACGCAGGTTTTTAATTTTAAACTCCATCAAAAAAAGTGCCTTATGCCATTTTGTAAGTGATGCAACTATGCCCACAAGAAAAAAAATAAAAAATAAAAAAAGAAGAGGGGCTGGAGCAAGAGCGGATTTAGACCATGAAGTAAAGGTGGGAGGGGGGCAATTTTTTTGATTCTGACGATCCAGACCATCATCAATTTACAGGTTTAATGATTTTTTAAGCAAGCAAGCACGAAAATAGAGTTTGCATTACACAATTTTATACAGAATTTCATGTCACTTTGAAATAGAATTTGCACTACACAATTTTATACCTAATTTCATGTCACTTTGAAACAGCCACCTAAATATACTTACGTTTGTAAACAATGTGCTCAATATTTCAAAAAAAAACAAAAAAAAAAAGGGGGGAAGGGAGGGGTAATCACTCCAATAGCCTCCCCCTATGCATCCCTTTAAATTTTCCTACCATTGGGCTGGAGAATTTAAAAGGATTTTCTTTCTATTGCAGTGAGAGGAGGTTCATATCTTAGTTTTACTTAGAAACTTTTTTTAACAAAAAGTGTTTTTTGTTAAAAAAGTTTAGAGCTGTAGATTTTCTATCATTTTGGTATAACATATTACAATAATAGTTATATAAACCAACAAATGATTGTTTTGCCCAATATCAGCGCTCATCAAAATGCCTAGGAACATATTTCAAAACAGACATGAAAAATTGGAAAAAGAAAAAACAGAAAAGAGAAAGGCACATATACAAATAGATTTATATAGTCAAATAAAAAGTTATATATACTTTTATGTTACAAGATTTTTTAAAAAAAGTTAAACCAAGTTAAACATTAACAACAAGAAAGAAGATCATTTTTGATCAAATGAAAAGAAAGGTAACAGTTGAAAACAAGAGGAGTAATAATAGAAAAGAATTTTTTAATATAAAGTAGTTGGTGTGTGTTAAAACAAGCAGCATAAACACTAATCATTGAAATGAAGTTGTAAATTTTTTATCAAAAAATCTGTTAATAACATTGTCAATACAATGAACAATTTCTTGATGGATATACATTAATGCAAAACCGTTAAGTCAATCTTCTGACATTGTTGTTCTTGTATAGCCTTTTAACAGATGCACAACAGAAAAACTCCTCTCGCATTAAGTATCCTTAAGCTGTATTAATATTTTTAAATTGAGGAAATAATATTGATTTAAGTCTTGTAAAAAAAGAAATTCTAACTAATGAAATATATTTGATTACCCTTTATATGCAGCTACAGTTTCTGGTTTAAATCTTGTAAATATAAATACATGATCTATAAGGAGGATAGTAACAGCTTATTTAAAGTATTATGAAACAGACTCTGATGGAACATTAGAACAATTTTTTTGAATAAAAGAGGTTTTTTATATGTTGTGTCTTTGTTAAAAGAACTCTAAAGAAAAGCCATGATAAATAAAGCATGGAAAATTGATGAATAATGTTTAAGAAAAGTGTTTAAACCATCTATATGCTCAATCCATCTAGTTGTACAAACTTCCTTTAATTTTTCTTATGTGTTTGAGGTTCATGCTCTAAAATATTTGCTTCTAAAAATTTCATCTATTTTCTGAATAATTAATTCTGAATAATTGTAAAAAACCTCTGAGGCTAATTAGATATTACACAATTCACAAACAGATAAGTTCAGTCAGTGGCTATGACAATGTGTATACAAAGCCTTTAAATTTATAATTAGAACCTGAGCAGAAAGATCATTTTTATACTCAGAGACAGAACTTCATCATTTCCCTTTTTTATATCTAGATTCAAGTTGTCTATGCAATTAACACAGATTAACTTATTGTACTAAAATATAATAAGATAATTATTTTTGAAGAAAAAATAAAGCGATTTACCTCAGAGTAAACTAATTACCTTATCAGATTTTCTCATATCCTGCAAAGTATAATTTACATTAGCAAGTTTTATAAAATAATTTTCTCATATCCTGCAAAGTATAGTTTACATTAACTATTTTTATAAAACAATTTTTGAAACCTCTGCAAAGCATAGTTTTCACTGTGAACTTTTTCCTAATTGTATTTTCTAGCAAAGTATAACAAAACGATAAAGTTCGGCAATTAGTATAAAGTGGGTGTTAGACGTCATAGTACCAATATTTACATTAATTTTTTTTACCTTGACACTTGCAGCACTTGATGGGGTTTAAATCCGCCTCTGAAAATATATTAAATACATAAATTATGTAATTATTAAATATATAATAAAAATGTATAATAAAAATAAAAAATTATTAAATACATAAATTACTACATGTAAATATATAAAATACATAAGTTGTTAAGTTTACTTAATACTTTATTAAATAAAGTAACAAATTAAATATGTTTACAATAAACCCATTTTGTTTAAATTATCAAAGAATATTATTCGTAATTACATTTATATAAATATGTATTTTTTTATAAATTTTTTCAAACTTTTTCTAAGATTAATTTTATAAACACTAATAGCGAAAATTTTTAGCGTGAAAACTCAAATTTAATAGTGTAATTGAAAGTAATGGTATGCATTTTAAAGCATATATTAAATATATTATATGCATCAAAATAACTTTGTTAAAATTTTAATAAAATAAATTTAAAAGTGATTTTAAAAGCTAAAATATTTTTTTGAAATATATAAAAAATATCAGACAAAAATAATATAAAAACTATAAATTTAAATTAATAACTAATTGCAGCGTTTTAATATAAATGATAAAAACCGGGCTACTTAATTCAAAAACATGGACAAAATGACTAATAGATGTTGTTTTTTACCAGACAATGTCCAATGTTCGGTAAAATTCCCCTAATTCAAAAATCTTTCTAATTTGAACTATTGTTTTTTTTGATAAAGTTTGAATTTCAAGAGATAGTACTGTTTATATACAACAATATATGGAGTATCCTTTTTTTTTCTCTTTTATATCTTATTTTTTAATAAAATATTTATAGAAAGTTACACTATATAATGAAGTAAATTATATTAAAGTTTAATATTTTTAGCATTAGAGTCCTTTCAAAAAATCATTAGTAATGCTATTATTGTATTCATGATAAGAAAATATAGCATTTCAAAACAGGAAATGGAAATTATTTTTTTTAGCTGTTTGTAACTATTGTAATCCATTAATCATGATTTTAACAGGAAATGTCAACGAAAAGTGTCATGTTTTTGGTTGTGCTGATGTTTTTTCATAATGCAAAAAAGCTTGCAAAAAGGTTCTTTAATAGAATTATTTGCGTGTTGACAATTGTATACATGGTTATTAAACCTATTTGTTAGTTGTCTATTTGTGCAACTTGAAGTAAGTCCATTTGTGATAAGTCTTAAGTTATTTGTTTTTCCGATATGTGTAATTACATGTTACAGGATACACATTTATGTATATTACATTCTTACTACAATAAACAATATGGTTTTTATGTTCCATATAGTGTCATTTGATGTTATATTTGACTTCTTGAAGATAGAACTTAAAAATTTTGAAACAGATATCTTTACATTTAAATAACCTGACTTTTTTATTGGTTAAATGGATTTTTTGCAGAAGTAAGTGTTTTTAGTAGATTGGGTTGTTTAAATGCAATTACTTGCTGGATTTTAGAAAAGACTTCTTTTACTCTTTCATTTGAAGATAGATTAAGTAAAAGGTTTGTTTTCTTAATAATAAGTTGGCAGTTCGAAATGCTATAAAAATTTGTAACTAGAGGAAAAATTTCTTTAGGTTGGTATATTTTAGAAGATGATGAAATTTATTTGAAATAAAATAACTTGATGTTTCCAGATAATCAATACTATATCAATCAAAACATTATAAAGCATCCAATAGATTTTCGCTACTAGCTGTTTTAACAAAAATCTTTTCGCTGTGATCACACATTTCTTTTTGAATATAATTTTGATGGCATAACATTGACATCTAATTAAAATTCGAATAGCAAATCTTTTTAAAAGCATTTCAAACTATATATCGATAAAAAGTTAAACAAATGAACTTTTCAATTAAATAAGTTTTCGACATGCATCATTGAACAATAAGAAATGTAAAATGCTTAAAACCATTGTTTTTATAAATTATTACTATAAAACATAATATTTGTAATATATAAAAATATAATGTATGTATATATATATTTAATATAAATTGTAACTATAAAATATAATATATGTAGGGGAAAGGTCCCTATGATGGCATACTTAACTTTGAACTTCATTATTCAGTATCCTGAAGACCAATAATAAAAGTTTTGATATGGATATTTTCCTTGTTACATGTAGAACAATAATAACTCTTGGAGTTTTCCTCAGTTTTTTGTTTTTTTTATAAGTTTTTCCTATTTTAAAAAAAAGCACAAGTATATTATCATAGGCAACCACTGCTCCTATGATGGCATAGGGAAGGATGTGGCTGGTTAGGATCAAGGGTAACTTGATGATTTCATTTAAATTTAGAGTCTTCCCTCAGAAAAGCCAGAAATTATTCAGAAACATCCTAATTTACCATTTCATGCTACACAGCAGTATTGTAAAGTTTCGGGCATGTGCATAGGGTATATTGCGTTTTATGTATTTTTTGGACCAAAAAAAAACTTTTAGAGCATTCTTTTCTTTTTACTTTACTTAAAAATAAGTTTTCTCAACTCCTCAATATTGTAAAACACCCAACTCGTCAGTATGTCATCATGGGAAGAAGTCATCATTTTCATTACAAGCTCTGTCTGTCTTGTTCAAAAGATAAAATTAAAGTAAGTATTCTACTAAATGCACAAAACTTAATATAAGATTCATGAAAATTCCCTTTCTACACAATTAATAATAAAATCACAATCTTAAATATATGAAGGTAATAAAACTACAACAGCACATCCCAAAATCGATTATAAAAACAATATTTGTGCATAAGGGACGTATTTTCACTAAAATTCATGTAAAATTAGTATAGTCATGTAGGTCTAATCACTATTTTGCCAAAACCAATATTTTTATGGAAATATGACTGGTATGCCATCATAGGTACTATGTCATCATAGGCGTCTTTCCCCTAACTATAAATATAATAATATGTAAATGTTTTTATGAATTGTAAGATTGTTTTTATAAATTGTAACATATCTAAAACAAAACATATTTATGTATAAATGAATGTTTTTCTTCAAAAGACTTTTGTAATTACATACCTAAATAGTTTACAATTCAACAAGTTAATGACAGTGTTAAAGCTGCTTTATTTAAGAACTAAATTTAAAGACGTTTTTTTTTATCAAGGATTACTCAAGATTTTTTAACTTTGTCAAGTGATAACTTTTTATAATTACACAAAATCGCTTATATTTATTCTTGATTATGCATAGAAATAATTAAATCTTAAAAATAAACAAATTATGTCTAGAATGAAAATTTATGTACAAAACAAGATATATTGTGAAGCATAATTGAAAGTCGCTACCAGTGGTTTGGAGTCAAAATTTTTAAAAAATGAAAAGCCGCTACCAGTTGGTTGCGGTAGTCAAAGAGTTAAGTGCATTTAAGTCGAAAATTTTGCTTTCAAGCTTCTTGTTAGGTAGGCTATACCAAACTTTGACACCAGATCTAGGTGACTGAATTCTTGGAAAAACGACTTTTTCCTCTTATTAAAAAATAAAAACTAATTTTATTTTGGCCATATCTAGCATCTATCCATTGTTTTATCCTTAAAAGTAATAGATTGGTTTACAAAAAATAAAGTCAATTTTAAATGTGGTATTAATTATAATAAATTAGCACTACCAAAAAAATAGCATTAAATTGAATTGAAACAATGATGTTTACAGATCAGATAATTAGGTTGTTAAATGGTAGTAAGAAGAATAAGTTTGAAGCTGGCTTTGGTCGTACATGTATCATTGGTAAGGAAGTGTAAACTTCTGGTTTAAATTGTAATCCGCAGTATTCTGTGATAAAATTGTTAGGACTTGTTGGAATAATGAAAAAAAGAAAAGGTTTCCTTTGTTAGATTGAAATGCTTTCAACTCAAATTAATCAGTTTCTTCCAAAATATACTTGAATTAAATCTTTTGTTGTTAGTTAGTTAAAGTTTCAATGGAACAAAAATCAGCTACAAAACAAAAATTGAAAAAACTTGCAGAAAAGCTTCTACTTATATGGAGATAAAAAGTTGTTATAATTTACTAAATCCCAGAAACTGAAGCTGTTATTTGTTACTAGAAACCAGGAACTGAAGTTGTTATTAGTTACCAAGAACTGAAGCTGTTATTTATTACTTGGATCAAGGACAGTAATGAATGTCATAAAAACTAGAACCTGAAATAAAAGCATTTTACATAATGAAAAAATTTCTTGAGTACATGAAATTAGAATTATTAGAAATGGCTGGATGGATCTTAGAATTTAAGCATTAAGATGTAGAACAAACATGTTTGTTGCGTAAACACATTTTACTTTGAATTCATTAATATGAAGGTGCAAACCATATTTTATCTCAGGTTTCAAAATTTATTTTAAATTTGTTAAATAAAAGTTAATTAACTAAACCAAAAAAAAATTTTTTTTTTTGTTTGTTTTAGTGTGATGAACCAAGTTTAGAAAATTAAGTTTTCCTAAATTTTTAGCTAGTATAAGTTTTTGTATAGTATAGTTACTAATCAAAAGATTTGTGTTAATCAAAATAATTTCTTATATCTATGCAGTATATCATAATTATGTAATTATAATATAAATACAATTTTTCAAATAGATATCTCGTTACAATGCACTTTTAAAAACGATTAAGTCGTCTCTCACAGAACTACAGAAAGGTATCAAAGGATTCGTTGTAATGTCAACTGAACTTGAAGAAACCTTCAACTATATTTTTGATGCAAAAGTTCCTCCTCTTTGGGAAAAGGTTGGTTAAAGGTTTTTTTAGGTTATTGTTTATAAACTAATAACAACCGTGTAAGTAGAATTAAAAGCTAATTTATAATAGTTGGTAAATGCCCCTTTTTTTTCTTTTGTTTTTTTATTTTCTAAAAAACATATAGCAAGTAGTTATTTTTACTTTTAAGTGTTATCCTTCGTTAAAACCATTGGCTTCTTGGACTCGGGACTTAGTATTACGGGTTGAACAATTTAGCAGATGGGCAACTACTGCTCGATCTCCTATAATTTTTTGGATGAGTGCGTTTACGTTTCCTAATGGATTTCTAACTGCTATTCTTCAAACGTGTGCTCGTCAAAATAATGTTAGTTTTTTTTTACCCGCTTTTTGATTAAATTGTGCATTAGAATAAGTTCTTGTTTTAAAATTTTTTTTTTAATTTAGGTTTCAGTCGACAGCTTATCTTGGGATTTTATTGTTTCTACTATCGATGATCGAAATATAACTCAACCACCTAAAGTAATGTAGCAGCTACGTCCTAGTTGCTTTAATAGTTAAAGAAATTTCCTAACTAAATAGTTCAATATTTAATATATTTTAAAAATATAAAAAAGCAGTGCAAATAAATATATTTGCTTGAAATATTTATATTTTTATACGTGAAAGAGTAAAAAAAAAAAATGCATTTACTTAATTTAGGATGGTGTGTTCATTCGAGGATTATATTTAGAAGGAGCGGGATGGAATGTACGCGACGCTTGTTTAATAGAAGCAGAACCAATGCAGTTAGTTTGTCCATTACCAACAATACATTTTAAGCCTGTTGAAAATAAAAAGAAATCTGGGAAAGGTATAATGAATTTGGTAGTTTTTGTTTTTATTTTCGTGAGTGAGTTTACTTCATTATAATGATATTCCATATAACCAAATTTTATAACGGCAATCGTTTCTTTAAAATTATAATCGTTTTTTTTTTTTTGTAGGTATTTATACCTGTCCGTGTTATTATTACTCTAATCGTGCTGGTAAATCTGGTAAAGAGTCTTTTATAGTAGCTGTCGATCTTAAATGTGGCAGCTTTAGTGCTGATCATTGGATTAAACGAGGAACTGCTTTACTAATGAGTCTTGACGAATAGAAATATTGTTGATATGTTTATATTTAAAATAATAATATGTAAGTTATTTTTCTGCAAAATAGACATAAATTCACATACACACACACGCACGCACGCAAACACGCATTATAGAGCTATTTTTATTGGATTTTAATTTTTTTTTTTTTGTTTTTTTTTATTGTTGTGAGCTTTTTAAAAAGAGTATTCTTCAGTTATTAAAAAATATTTGTTGTTATTATTACATTTTTATATAACTTATAAATAAGAATTTATATCAGCACGACTATTTCGCGATATTAATAACCTGTTAATAAAATTCCTAATAATCACGATTTGTGCAAGGAAATAACATATATATATATATATATATATATATATATATATATATATATATATATATATATATATTAGGGTGATGCAAAATTTGTAGGTTCAAAACTTTAGTTGTCCTCAAGCTTGCCCTTGTTCTATATGACAATAGTAGTTATTGGCCAAAATTTGAATCAAATCGGATGATATTTAGGGGTTGCCATGTTTTGTCACATTTTGGTATAAGGTTATAAAAATTAAAAAAATATTTTTTATTTTTACATTTTTTATATTATATTACTGAATTATTTATTATCAATTTCTCATTATTATGTGGTGGATTGTGGATGTTCAATGTTAAAAAAATCAATACTATAGTACTACTATGTAATTGCACTAGGCAATAATAAATCAATCATCTTCATCATTCAACAGTCATCTTCATCAGGGTAGACTTTGATGCAACTGGGAATTCCTTCCGGTGAAGATCAACCAATCTAAGAAGAAACTGCTTTTGGTTTTCATCTTTCGTAACGCTTGAGTTAAAGGATGTTATAAGTGCTATGCCTCGTTCCGCGCAATCGTTGACGACTTTCATTTGACCAACCTTGTGCTTCATTTCAAGATATGTTGAATCCATTTCCCACTCTGAAGATTCTTTCATTAAAAATGATTCAGCTTTTTCCTTTCCATTTTTCAAAATTAGATCGAAAAGTTCTGCGGTGCGTTGTGTGACGAAGGAAGGCAAACGGCTGTGAATAATCGAATGTGGCAGCATCAAGTCTTTTGAGAGATTTCTGCCTTGGCTGTTGTTTCAGGTTGTTTGCCATGTCTCTCTTGGTGTTGTTGTCGACACGGGAATCGAAGAAAGCCAGTCCTATTAGATGTTCAGAAAAATACCAGAGGTGGCGATGAAAAGCTTTTGCTGCATTAATTGCAATTGTACGATTTGGATATTCTTGAATCCGTTGAAGAAGCTTGGCATCATTGAACGGTGCTCGTTCAGCTAACGGAGCTTCATTCCAAAACTGTCCGTATACAAATGCCACAAAAAGACTTATATCTGTTATTCCTTTCTTTTCCTTTGCAGTAATAACAAATTGATCCTGAAACAAATATATCTTTATACAATATATAGCTTTTGCCATTCAACGTGCATTGTGTGTTGCACCTGGAGCCCGAAACTTCACTTTGAACTCCGATGTTGTAGTTGATCCTCCAAGAAAAATAAGGCACAAATTCAAGAGTTCTAAGTAATCATCCCTGGGTTGTTGACCTTTAATTGCTTCACTATAATATACTACCATTTCTTCACGGAGTTTGAGAAAAAAATCGCAGTTGTAAAATTCTTTATTCCCTATAGTGAACACTTCCTTGTTGATTGCTGGCCATTGTTTCTGGAAACGGTTAAAAATTCCAACTTCAGGTCCTCCACTGGTTCCAAATGCAGTCGTGAAAATGGTGGAAAGCATGACTTCAAACATATGGTGCCTGCATGCTATCCATATAAGATTACGGTCAAGATTCTGCTCCATTATTGTGCAGGCACCAATGTTCAACCCAGTGTTAGATGAAGTAGTGTCAAAAACCAGTCCCCGAACAAGTTCTTTCAATTTCCAGTCTTTAAGAGCCTTCATGCAAGCATCAGCCTGTCGCTCACCTGTACCTCGATCAATCTTTGGAACGCCCAGCAATTTTTCCACCCTACCACCAGTCACAAGGATGGCAATTCTATCCACTTTTTTTTGACCACCAGTGATATCAGGTAAGAGCTTTCCATCCCAATGCAGAAGAAGTGGATCATCAGGAGAGAAATCAACCTTACCAGCTGTAGTCACCGCTTCACGAACAGATCGCCTTTTTCTGCGGATTGTGCTGTACGACAATGATAAATCTTTTACCGAGTGACCAAGAGCCTGAGACACTGTTCCAACCACGAAGAGTGCACGGCGATCAGAAATATTAACACGATCAAGAGATGATACAACATTATTTGTTAGAACTTTCATCTTCTTTTTCGTTGAGCCACTTGTGCTCAGTGTGCTGGAAGCGGAAGGAGTCTGATATACATCATCATCCGAGGAACTAGAGCTACTTTCACTCACAATGTCAACTGCTGATGAAGAAGAAATGAGTTCTGTTTTTTCCATCAGTTCCGCTTGACTTCTTTGACGCCTCAATTCCATTTTAGTTTCTCGGACTCGTTTCCGTGCCTCCCTAGCTGTTAAATTCCGATCAATTCCTGCCATACTACAACTTAATGGATCTTCTTGCTGCTGAAGTAAAAATGCTTTATCTTCATCGTTTTTCATAACTTCTGATGCATTCTTTGTTGAAATATCAAAAAGTTCTTCAAGGTCAGCGTGGAAAATTCCTTCTTTCATTTGACAGCTGTCCAATTTTGATCCTCGGTGTTTTTTCAGCAGCAGATATTCGTCATAGAGTTTTTTTAACTTTCTTTCCACATTGTCAATTCTTTGAGTTGGAATTTTTCCTCTCTCCCATATAACAAGAACTGCTTCAATTGTTGCCCGAATACTTTTTTTCACTTCTTGTTTCTCTTCTATATGATGGAAGAGCAACCTCCGAAGAACATCCTGATGTATTAACATCTCTTGAAGGAAGTCTGGCAGTCGACAGAGTTTGTGTAGGTTTACCAACAAGCCACACCTCAGCAGAAGATCTAGTGGTTGCCATATTATCGATTTCTAAATTATAAATAAATAAACAATGAAAAAACAAATTTGCGAAATTTGAGAAAATCACAAAATTTTACCAATGGTTAATTCATCTTATAAAACATGGCAACCCCTAAAATTGCTTCTTTTAGTCTAATTTTTGGTACACATGATCCTAGGTGATAAAGGAACACAGGCAACCTTGAGGAGAATGTTTTTTGTGACATTTTTTTTTTCTATTACAATCTGAATCACCCTAATATATATGTATGTGTGTTTATAATATATATATATATATATATATATATATATATATATATATATATATATATATATATATATATATATATATATATATATATATATATATACATAATACATGTAAATATGATGTAACAATGTATTATTATGGTATAATAATAATAATACAAATACTCTTGTGCGTTAAAGAGTGCTCAATACAATTAAGTAATTAACCAATATTTATTTATATAAAATGAATAGAAACAACTTTTGATGGAACTCTGAATTTCATGCCTTTCAGCAATCATTAGCCATTGTATATAATTCGTAACGTAAAAACCGTTTAAAAAATTAATTTTAAAACAAATTAAATTTAGTGTGGAACGAGTTCTGACGTTACAAAAACAAAACAAAACAAAATTACGTCAAAGATTTTAGTCTCAGTGTCGAATAAGATTAGTAAAAATTTCTTTGAATGCCTGCACTTTAATATTATTTCATATCTTTTGTTAAGTAAATTTACTCCTCTTTAAGATAATATAGGAAATTTCTCGCGGAGACAAAGTTTTATAAACTTTTGATGCTTGATTGTAGGACTTACATCGTGCTCTTTTCTTCCATGTAATCACAGGTTTTATATTTTTAGATTTTAGTTTCCATATTTCTTTAGAAAGTTTAGTGTTATTTTTATATTTGCGTGCATTGAAAGATTTATAATGGTTGACTTAAATTTTTAACCGCATTTAAATAATTTAAATGCGGTTTCACTTATGCCGAAATAAACTTTATTTTTGACTTTAGAATCTCCAGAACATAGAGTGGCTTGTACACGGTATGGTTAAAAAGGCATTGGTTATTTAATGGGCAAATTGTTTTGTCTATAGACAAAAAAAAAATCAAATCATTGCAACTTCTTATATGAAGTTGCATTGTTTTGATGTTATATTTTAATCGCGTTGTAAAATCTTGTTGTTATGTGCCTTTACTAAAGACTTGACATTAGGCATGCAACTATAGCTAACTTTAATGTAGTTTCGATTAAAATCTTTATGAAGCTTGTGTCCTACTGAAAAGTGTAAGTCAAAAAAAAGCTAAGAAGAATCTCTATATAGATAGATAGATATAGAAGCCAAAAAATAAGGGCACGTCAAAAAAATTAACTCAAACTATGTAAATTGTTTATTGCATAAATGCAATAGAAAATAAAATAAAAAAAAGAGTGTTGTATTTCAACACTTAGTCTTATCTTAGTACCTATCAAGCATTGCCTGATTTTTTAGTGGCATACTATGCACTAAAACTCTAGTGTGATTTCATTACTCTACACTTTTTTTAAAACTTTTTGGAAGTGTTCTTCATATTTTGGCTGATGTGCTGCAACTTTCTGCTTCGTAATATTCTAGCAGTTCTCGATAACATTAAGATCAGATATGCTTGAGGGCGAATAGGATGAAAACTCAATAATATTATCAGTAAACCACTTCTTAACTATTTTAGCTGCGTGACATGGTCCTGAATCTTGCTGATATATGCTGGTTTTGGCAATTTCTATATGTTTCACTTTATCTTTCAACACACTAAGGTACTTTAGCGCTTTGACTTTTCCGTCTTTTTTAAAGACGTGCAAGCCACATTGACCTTGTGCTATGATTGCTCTTGATACCAAACTGAAGGAAGAAGTTTGGCTGTTTTTATAATATACTTCAGATTCAGGCGCTACCTAACAGGTCTTCTGACATAATTATAGCCCCTGCCTCTAATTTATTGAAATTTTACTTTCGTTTGTTAATATTATTTGTTCTCAAATTTAGATATCTTATCTTTTAAACTCTTACAAAACTTAATTCTAGTTTGCAATTGTGTTAGAGTTAATAAAGGTTTATTAACTAATCTTCTTGCAACTAAACTAAAGTTGAACCATTTTAGTTTTTCTCAAGCTAATAGTAACACCCCTTTCCATAGTAGGGTAAGGTTGTCGATATTGTCTAAGAATAAAGTCAAAAATAGAAAAAAATGCAAAGTAGAAACAATGAGACTTTATTGTATTTTAATAATTGGGGGATAATCTGTT